ATCAACGCAAGTCTGTTCAAGATTGTATGGCAAGCCCATAGAAGCACAAATAAAGAGCAAATGCGTAGTGCACTAAGAGAGCGCAAGCAAGAAAGAGAGAGAGGGAAACTCTAAGCACAGCTGTCGTCGATTTCGCGTCTGGCATAAAGCGGAGGGTACATTAATATTTCAAACTTAGTTTGGACTCGGAGCGTGTAAGGTGTAGTCGATCGGGCAGCCCGTTGCGCGAGTAGAGTGTTCTTTAAGTGGCAAACAGGAACAGAAAACAAAACGGGAACACTTTTTAAAAGAAACGCAGTAGTTGTCACTGAACAGATGCTACTCCAAGCACAGCGAACTCTTCACCTCACAGCATTTTAGGAGCGACTGACGGAACACGTGTGCCCTATGAATAATTAGTGTGCAGCAAATGAGTAAGCCATAAGTGTAAACGCGTACACACATACATACATATGTAAAGTACATGCGAACATGCACACACTCAAACGAACCTACAATAAGCACATGCAAATAATCAAATAAAAGCATGTGGCCGCAAAGTAAAACACAAAATTGAACTTCTTATACGAGATCCACGCTGGCAGTGAGCGCGCCGCGCGCAGACTGATAAATATAGGAGAAAAAAAAAAAGAATAAAAGAAAACATGATACATGAGCCTTCAGAAAAATAAACATATTTAACAATTAAAGAACTCAACCAAAGGACCAATTTATAGCCAATTTAAAAAATCAGCACAAACGAGCAACTCTCCAAATATCTCATATTGTCAATTGACTCTTAATTGCGAAGCGCAAAGAGTAAAATGACACGAATTCAAGCCAGCGATACGCTGATACCGCGCCAGGTATTCGAGGTGCCAGCGCAGTCGGCGGGCGATAAAAAAGCACGTGCGAGCAGCGACTCCTCCACAGACACATCCAGTCAGGAGTCGGGCGTGAAACTGAAGAAACAAATTGGACTGCTCGACGGCGTCGCTATCATTGTTGGCGTCATCGTCGGCGCCGGCATTTTCGTCAGCCCCAAAGGTGTGCTCATGTTTTCCGGCTCGATTGGACAGTCGTTAATTGTCTGGGTGTTATGCGGAGTTCTCAGCATGGTTGGCGCTCTATGCTACGCAGAATTAGGTGAGTATCTGGTTAACAATTCAATTTTGTTTCATAATATAAACTGAACTTTAAGCCCTAATCCCACTAAGCACAAATAAATATGCCCCCACCTCAATTCCAATTCTTATAATATCTGCTAGATATAAAACTAAGCTTTAAACTAAACAAAAACCTAGGTTGATGATGTCGACAATCAGTTTCGCCAGCCGAACCCCGAGACGGGAAGTGGGTTCGAACCGTCAACTGAACCAAAAAATAATTGTTGCGGGCTTTTCGCCCTGAATATGTAAGCATGCTGATGCTAGCGATTCTCTTACATTTGCGCTGACTAGGTGTGCTACATTAAATAACTGTGTAACACCTGTAATCAGCATAATGTAGTACACGACCTCGTTTATTTTTGCATAACTTGCCATATCAGCTAAGACAGACTTCGATTAAGGCCGTTCCAAGACCCTAAATATTGTTCAATACGAGCAAAATTATATTTTAATTGGACTACAAGAAGCCACATTTCCGACTAAAATATTATATTCGAAATTTATTAGAATAGTTCTTAACGCAGATCGAGGAAATGGTTGGGATTATATTTCGAAAAGATCACTTAAAGACATTGTAATAATACGGTTTTTTTTAAGATTCGCTTGTAATTGAATTAACTAAAAAAAGTAGATTGGATCGCTTTAGTATGTGCCTTAGAAATAATTCCTTTAACAAGAGCACAAAAGCGTCTTTCTTGTTCTTGCAATCATTTCGCTGCACAGCTATATTTCGCGCATTTTGAATAATAAACCAGTTTGATTTTGAAAACTTGATGTACCAGACGGTTATTTGAATATTTGATAGCCAGCACAAATGCGTGCAAATTGTGTAATAAACTTCTGCTTTCGTATACAAGCGGTATATAGGGATTCAAATGCATATTTGTCTAGTTTAAAGCACTTTCGCTTTCTTTATATACAGTTCGATAACCGGCAACTCAATTAACTTAATCACATCGCAGATAACTTTTTATTTAACCAACACTCAGCCGATGGACTAAGTCGAGTATTATCTATAAGTGTCAATTCCAATAGACAGTGCAATGACCGTAAATGGTATATAAAAGATATAGGGAAAAATACATAATTAAATAAACGTCTTAAAGCCTTTCAATATGCTTGATCAATAGCCGAGGGCAGAAATAGAAACTTCCCTATAGACTCAATTTTAATATAACATTTGATTATTTTGTTTTTGACGTCTTTGAACCCACAAGGAACATTTATTCTTGATTAGGATCAACTATTTGAATCAGCACACAACCCTTTAGGAAATACCAGCTGATAAACGAGTTTTTGTTTGGAAACCTTTTCTACTTTTCAAGATACATTGACCAAACACAGAAAAATGTACTGCTCAGCTAACTTATCTGCAAAACCGTATTAAATCTTCCTACTACTTCTTCTTTTTCCTCGAACATTTCGTAATATTTGCAATGAAATTCTTTTCAGGAACCATGATACCCAAATCTGGTGGAGATTACGCCTATATCGGTACCGCATTTGGACCGTTGCCCGCCTTTCTCTATCTTTGGGTGGCGCTGCTCATCCTGGTGCCTACGGGTAACGCCATCACGGCACTCACATTTGCTCAGTATCTGCTGAAGCCGTTTTGGCCCTCGTGCGAGGCACCCATTGGTGCAGTGCAGCTCCTGGCCGCTGCCATGATATGTAAGTGTCCACGAAATGGCGAAATGAAGAAATGCGTCTAATTTCTGTTAACTTTATCGCAGGTGTCCTGACCGTCATCAACTGCTACAACGTCAAATGGGTTACTCGTGTGACGGACATATTCACGGGCACAAAGGTGGTCGCCCTGATGGTTATTGTGGGTGCCGGCGTGTGGTACTTGGCGGACGGCAACACGGAGCATTGGGAGCAGCCATTCAGTGGCGGGCTCAAGGAGCCGGGATTTATAGCTCTGGCCTTCTACAGCGGCCTTTTCTCATACTCCGGCTGGAATTATTTGAATTTCGTGACCGAGGAACTGAAAGATCCGTACCGCAATTTACCACGCGCCATTTGCATATCCATGCCGGTGGTCACGGTCATTTATATGGTCACAAATGTTGCATACTTTTCGGTGCTCTCCACTGATGAGATTCTTTCATCGGATGCGGTGGCTGTTACCTTTGGAGACAAGATGCTGGGCTTCTTGTCGTGGATCATGCCCTTTGCGGTAGCATGTTCGACATTTGGCTCACTGAATGGCGCCATCTTCGCATCCTCTCGCCTGTTCTTCGTCGGAGCACGCAATGGCCACCTGCCAGCAGCAATTTCGCTGATAAACATCAATTGCCTGACGCCGGTGCCATCGTTAATATTCCTGGTAAATGGCTGTGATCTATTCGTCTAGTAAGCCAACATACTAAACACCTTCTGTTTTACAGTGTATTATTACGTTGATGCTGCTATTCATTAAGGACACATACGTGCTCATCAACTATGTCAGCTACGTGGAAGCGCTCTTTACACTCGTCTCTGTGTCTGGTCTGCTATGGCTACGCTACAAGCAGCCCAAGACGGAGCGACCTATACGCGTCAATCTCTCGCTTCCGATCATCTATCTGATTGTTTGTCTGTTTTTGGTGATCGCATCGTGCTCGCAATCACCCACTGAGGTGGGTGTTGGCACTGTAATAATACTGTCCGGCATTCCGATCTACTATCTGACAATACACAATCCGGTTCAATGGCTGGCTGACACCTCACAGGCTATAAACATGTGGTGCTCCAAATTCTTTATCTGTATGCCAAATCAGGATAAGTTCGACTAAGTTTGAATAACTCATGGCAATCAGTGCCTTTCTTGTAGGAATCAATTATGAGTAGTTCGCATGATAAGCATTTGGGTAAGATTATTTCTGCCCATACTTTTATAGCGCACAGCGGGCTTTTCCAAACATCAATTTTTTTAGTGTACATATTTACAAAATTCTGAAAGTCTTTGAATTAAGCAGGCTGCTGAATCAATAGCATTAGTATATCTATATTATATGTAATATTATGTATATTTATATATATCAGTTCCTCAGCATCTAAGCACAATATCCAATAGACAAACACAAATCCAATACAATAATGCATTACAATTTTCAGATATTATTTTACATAAAATAAGTACAAATAAGTATATTATTGATAAAATTTTGTACTTGCGTAAATCGAATTATACTTTATAGAGTTAAATAAAGTGCTAAAAAAACAAACAGCAGAAAATTTAATAATCGTTCAGTAGGGCTTCGCAGATATATATCGTATTTGCTGAGTTTGGTCAAAGCATCTTGAAAGGCGTTAGAGCTAGATGACAGTATTACATATGGGTGCTATATGGTATAGTGTTCTGATTCTGCCGGTTCCGGATTTTGACAAGAGCGTTCAAACTGAGAGACTAGTTACCTAATGACTTCGGAAATATCTAATTTTAGGCGTTACACATTTCAGGAAAATATATACTAACTTGAATATCTATGCTCTTAATTCCCTACGCTCAAACCCTTACATTACTCTAGACAAATTTGAATATCCAGCTCTAACTCTTATAATACCCTATACAAACATGAATAACCTAGGTCAAGCCCTTATAATCTTATAACTCTTCTACAAACGTGAAGCTCAAACCTTTATAATAGCTGAGGCTGAGAGCTGAGTCCCTTAAAGTTCAAAGCTGTTATCTGCATTAAAGCCCATTAGAAGACGGCCAACGAAAATCAAACGAGCCACGAAAGCTCTCGAAAGCTTTTCCAGCGACTGACAACAGTTTAAAAATGCGACGAGTGCGAGGAGGAGCGAGCAGCAGATCGCCAGCGACTCGCTGGGATCAGTACATAAGCGGAGCGTGGGCGAAACGGTCGTTCAATAGACCGCCGAACGGGATCAGTAACAGTTGCGCCGCCCGAGTCGGCATTTAAATTGAAATTAGCGGGGAAATGATCGGAAAGGTGTAATTATTCAGCACAAATTGCCAAAGAATAACAAAAAATAACCAATAATAACCAAAAATAAGAGCAAAACGAAACTAATTGCAAAAAAAATAAAAATAAAATAACTGTGGAGAAAGTGTAGTTTATAGAGCTCGATTTGGATAAACATTGGCAATGGCGCTGGAACAGATCGTAACCTACCTGCTGCTAATCGGCTCGGTCTGGTGGAGCACGGCTTACGCATCCACGGAATATAATCGTTATGTGACGCAGATATTCCAGAAGTATGGCAGCGGCAACACCATTAGCTTTGAGGTAAAGCCGCACAAACCTGGTACTTCATCTAAAACACAGACATTTGAGTAAGCGTCAAAACACGCTCCGCTTCGCTCCGTTAGCAACTTTTTGCCGAGGCAAAATAAAATTAGTACCTTTTTTTTATATTGTTTTTGTTTCTGTTGTTTGTTTTTGTTTTTTAATCTATCAACATGTGTTGCAATTTTGTTGATTAGCGATTGTGGCATTGGCCAAAAGTTGTCGTTCGGCCACTTTTATGTTTTGCCCCATTGGGACTAAGCTGTAATACGCTTTCTCAAACATTTGCAAGGGCGCTGAGGCCAGCATTGATTGGCAAAGTGAGCAATATGAACAGCTAAGGGGCATAAGTAGATACTTTTCTAGGGCTTTAGTAATCGTAGTATTAGTTATCTTTATACTCGCTCTGAGATACGCAAAACTTTTTATTGTCTGCGGCGTACGACGAACCATTATTTAGTCAGACGCAGCTGATGGGATCTTAGCTTTAACATTGTCATAAATTTAATCAAAATCTTGACGTACTGTTATGTCTCGGTTAGCCTACACGTTGCGATGTATCAACATATGTACTAGTGTTGCTTCAGACTCATATATATGCACACATTTGTAAATCAGAGACTGTTGGAGACTGAAGATATCTGATCTGAATTTGGTGGACCAGATCTACAGCGCCATCGCTGTGTGCTCTGTCCGATTTGATGAAAAGATTGCCACACAAAATAGGTGAGATTATTATTATGAGAGCAGCTTTCATCAGAGAAAATCCGACTAAACGATACTATTTACCTTTTATAAAAAAAACAACATTATAAAAATCCGTTCTTTTATAACTTTGGGGGGAACGGCAGAGGATTTTAATAGTGGAATATTCTGGATCTGTGTGTTTTATAGGAGATATGCTCAAAAAACTCGTACAGCGCGGGCACTAGAGATATGCATAGAAACTCTAGGCACTTGGTGGACTTATGTTTAAAAAATCGAGACTCTAGCTCTTATAGTTTCTGAGATTGACGTGTATTTAATACAGGTAGAAAGGCGGACAGACAGACAGCTGGACATGGCTTCCTTCTGCCTGTTACATACGTTAGCACAAAAACATTATACCCTTTTTAACTATTTTTAATGGGTTTGGGTAATAACAGTCAACATTGACCTGCACAGCAAGGCCACAACCACTTCAACCTACTACGTTAAAAATTGTGCAAAGAGACGATGTCCGTTATGTCCATGGCCGTTAATTCCGGCTGACACGGTGGCTAGAGAAATGAAGTTAAACGATCTTTTATAAAATGAAATAACCAAAGACTTTCGGAAACAAACTCCTATTGATGAGTATTGAATCAATAATGCTACCCCAATACGAAACAAGCAACTAGTTTATAGTTCAATAATAGCCCGGCAAATTTATCAAGATATATAGAATTACCCGACATGCCCCCAGTGGGCGCAGGTAGAATATGTATACAAAATTGATTACTTAGCTTTAAGACTGTAGAAGATATAGGTTTTCTTGATTTCCCACGCCCGGTCGTTATACACGAGTATATATGCCAAGTTTCAAGTAACTAACAGACGGACGGACCATGCACAAAATATACAATTTACTCATTTCGTTTTATATACAAGTATTAAAGCAATTACTGGGGATATGAGCATGAAACTTTTTCAATGGAAGAACAGTATCTCATATTTATTTAGGATGTTTGAGACTCTGATAAGAAGATCAATTATGGAAGAACACAGACAAGCTTTGCATAACAAATTTGGGTTAGAGTGCACGAAATGGAAGTAATAGACTGTAAAAGGACTAGAAGATGACATTGACGAATCAAGTACCCAGGTACCCAAATCAGGTTTTATTCTAAGAACAAAACTAATATTTCGCATTCTCGTCAAAGCAGAAAAAACTAACACATACAATTAAAATAAAAACAGTGAGCAGAGTATAAACACATTTAAGAGGAAAAATTCAAGTTTGGAAGAAAATTTGTGTCTACGATGTGTCCACAGGATGAAGCATGCAAAAATTTGTAACTCTGACCTTGATCCCTGCATTGGTAGTATATACTTCAACCTAATTTAAATGATTAAATCAGTTTCAGTACGTAAATGACAAGCTCTGTCAAATTAGAATATAATTATTAATGAAATAATGGAATATTCCATATCATTAAATGTATTCAAATACTTTTTGATAAACATATATGTGTGCGTCTAATAAAAGTGTGGCAACTGCCGTTGACCATATTATATCTATGTACTGCTTATATATCCAGGTGTATATATGTATGTGTTCATATATGCTTTATGGCAATGCTAACACCCGCCATAAACTATGCAGCCAAGTCCAATTGGCATTACTCATGCGTAGACGTTGGCGGCGGCGACACTACGCAATACCTCCATACACTTGAAAGCCTGGTTACGTATGCGGCATGCTAACTAAGCGGGCACAAGCTTCAATCTCGATTTGCGGATTAGCGCGTGTCCCGGTGATAATAAGTAGCTGAATTCCACAGCACATGACGAGCTCTTGGCATAGAATTTGTTGAATGAAAGTAAATCCGCGGCGGGTTTAGTGGCCCATCAATTTCTGTGCAGTTGGCACAAGCTTTTGGTTTTATTATACCCTGGCTTATAGTGTGAGTAACAGGCAGAAGGCTTTCCCCATCCTATTAAGTATATCTATTCTTGGTCAGCACCATGTCGAGCTAGCCATGTCCGTCTTAATGAAGGATTGATCGCAGAGACTTTATGAGCTATGTGAAACGTAGAGATCCTCGATAAATGTTTACCCAAAATCGATTTTCAGTTTAGGATAACGTCGAAGTGCTAGAGAATTTCACCCTGCATATGGGTGTAGAAGTTCCAACGCGTAGAAAATAATATATAGACTGTTATAGGGTATCTCGTAGTCGGGCACTGCCGATTAGAGCACTTTAACTTGTTTTGTTTTGTTTCTGCTTTACTATTAGCGCGTGTTTGTTTTATTTGCAAAGACTGACTTCACATACAAAATAACGTCCCTCTACGGATTGCCGCCGTCCCAACATTTTATTTGGTAATCATTGTCGGCCAGATTCTGTAATTACTCTGCATTATAAACTGATAAGCGTGTAAGTAGTTAACCAGCCTGTCATCTCTTAACGAACAGAGCACACGCCCATGCCAATAGACAGCCGCTGTCAAGACAATTAGATGCGCTCCCAGACCCCATACAATTTTCATCATTAATATGTACGTGGAAACGCACAGGCATGTAAATATAATTGTTTTGCTCGGTGACAAGTAAATCAAGTAATTATTTGTGAGATTCCCGCGCGTCTACGTTTAACACGTGAGCCAGGCGCAAGCGCCGTACTGAGTAAATATTTCACCTGAATAGAATCGGGGTTATAGACAAATTAGCATAGAGCTTAAATGTGCCAAATGTGCTCGAGTGCAAATTAACTTGTTTGTCAAATTACTTAAAAGTCGAAACCGTGATAAATATGGGGAAAGCATCCTTAACCATGCCTATGCAATAATGGAGTTTAAGACACTAAAGAAACCATAACAGTTCAACTATAATGTAAAAATAATTAAACGACAATAGAAAACACAACTAGAATAAATTTTCATAAAAATCGGCTGATAAATAAAATAACATATAACCGTTTTCCGCCAATATTCCACAGTTACAGGTGGAATTTACCCAAACAAAATCTATGCGTGAATACAGTAAGAATTTCAGGGTTCTATCTGAGGTGATCATCAATCAGTCAGTCACTCAATCAGTCAGTCAGTCAGTCATTTTTCTTACATTTTAAAGCAACTTTTGCATTCATTCTAATTGGGTTGTTTACTCATAGGGTCTGGAGCATTTGATGTACAGCTTGGGCCTTGGGCACATTGAATTCGACCCCGCGCACACCATAGAAGAGCACCGACCAGTGGGCTACAACAGCACCAAGCACAATGCGACCACCGCCAATCCCAGTCCTGAAGACGCGCTCAGCGATGTAGAACTGACCAGTCAGCAGCTGGAACAGAACGCCGAGCGCATGGAAAGGAACCAAACCGTTGAGTTTCGCGAAATGCACGACCCCAAGCATCGCCACCCGCGGGAAAGCAGTGGTAAGATTTATGTACCTTTATTTTGAACCCGGAATTTCAACGCGACACCACAACTTTATTGGACTATTTAAACAGCAGATAGGAATATTTGATCAAGTAATAAACAGCTTTTATAGCAGCACCGTTTAAGTTTGTTTTGCTACCAGTAAAGGGATTAGCGAGATATTTACGTTCGCTTAGCCAGGTTATGCGACAACAGGTTCCCCTTAAGCAATGACACATATTCCCAACACAATCGACGAGCGGCTGGGATGTTGCACAATGGAAAATTGCAGGCTACCCACCCACGACAATGAGCAAACAATACGAGTAAATGGAAACTTAAACGACAATTATAAGCTGACATGTACTTCATGTGGATTATAAACAAACTATTATGTTTGCAAGTCTCTCGCTTGTTATGCTACTTATTCCGTCTTTCCAAATAGATAAAGAGTATATTAGATTTGTTGAGCCATCCGTTTGTCCGTCCACCTGTCCGAATGAACAACCAAGGTGACGTCTAAATGAACTAAGAGTACAGCCAGATCAGCTTCCCATGAAGAAGCAAACTCAATATATTTTCTTATTACTTTCGATACTGGAAAGTTTGAATTAAATTAAATTAGTTAAAAATTGGATAAACAGACATAATAATGGGGGAGAACTTGTTCTGCAATCCAAGTCAATTGGCAAGTGTTTTTCAGTAAATTGGGTTTTTCTCCAAAAACAAAAAAAAACACTTGGTAATAATTGCTTGGTAGGGATAGCACAATGTAGATACATATATACATATATATGTATGTATGTATGTATGTGTGTCTGTCTCGCTTGAGGCAGAGCATCTGCTAGTCTAACGGTTTTACCGCTGCCCTACAATATTTTAAATAGACTGTGGCCTGATATTGCTTTCAATTGGCTACTTCAAGTGCAAGGCAGCCTATTTGATCTTGTTGTCATTTGTATAATACTTATAATCTAAAATCATGGCTGCCATATAGGGATAAGCACGTTTTCAAGGTGATGATCAAAACCATTTCCCTGCATTGACCAAGTCGGTTCTACCACTACAATAGTGGGTCTACGTGCATCGCTTCCTGTTAATGCACCTTAACTGCATTTATAAATTATCTGCGAGTGCACAGACACAAGTGCACTCTTGTTTAAACAACGAATTTTGTGCTAATTAAAATACATCTACTTACATATGTGTGTGTGCTGGTCCGTACGTGCTAATCAGAAGTAATGTCAACAAAATGTCAGTAAGGCGATCTCCATTGTCACCTGGCAATCAAAAGCCAACAATGTGGACGCGGAAATTAAAAACGCACCATAACTTTTAACTTTGCGTGTTTGTACCACATTTGAGGTTTACCGTTAATTGTACAGCACACAGGCATAAACGTGCCATTGAGATTCTGCTCACAACTGACCAGGGCTGCAGGCCCATCAAACGATTCCGTTTAATGATCCATTTCGGTTCCGTTTGTGAACCAGATTTATCACTTCTGTGGCTCGAGACATGGATCAACACATTTCATACACTTTTCAGTGGATCAATTTTGTGGTTAAAAACTTTGTAGCAGGAAACATCCACTTTAATGTTCAATTCATGTTCAAAATTGTAATGCCGCCTTGCTACTTACAAGCTCGCAATGGGATTGATTATAGACCAGAATTCAAGCATCTCCTTTTACAGTTTCCCTCGATAGTACACCTTTGCCTGAAGCCGCATGCCTATCGCCAAGGTCGCTGCTCACGCTTCTTGTGGACCACAATGATCTACACCGAAATAAGCTGTACCGTGATATAGTGAAGACGGAAAATCATAACTTGGAGGAGGAGTACACTAAATTCATCAACAGTGTCCTTATCACGCCCAGCGCATTCATGAAACTGTGCCCAGCCCTGTTGGCACAGATCGATAATGGAGTATGCATGCAACCGGCAGAGGACCCACGCCATATGAATCTCGACAGAAAAGGTCGAATTTGGAATGGTAAGTGCACTGAGAAAGCCATCAGCCATCTAACTGTAATATAACATTCGACTGTCTGCAGCCTGGATTTACGCAAGCACCTCCATGTTTGTGCTCTCAGGTAAATATCCCATTCAACTCAAATCTCGACAACGAATAAACAACATATGCCCTTTAAGCATGCGGAATTTTGGGAGTAGTGCTTGTTCCTCTTATGAAGACGGTCGCCTATCAAAATACCTTGAAATTCCTTGTCGCCATAGCCGTGGGAACCCTGGCTGGAGACGCGCTTATGCACTTGCTGCCACATGCCCTATTCAAGGAACAAAAGCACGAGCATGCATTGGAAAATTCAAGCTTGACAGATCAGGACCAGGGCCACAAGCACAGCAACGAGGCGGCAATGCTGTGTGGCGCTGCCTTTCTGGCAGCCGTGTTTATGTACGTGTTGGAAAACGTGATTCCGCTCCTAAAGGGCAAGGAGCATGGTCATGGCCATAGCCATGGTCATGGTCACGGTCACGCTCACGGTCACAGTCCTAGCGATACGGGCAAGATACAGGCAACAGAAGTGGCTACGGCACCTCGTGAACTGAATATCATGCTGAACGAGACAAAGGAGGATCAGAAGAGGCCAGATCGCCCTCTAACTCCCGTAGCATTTATGGTAATAATTGGTGATGGATTGCACAATCTCACCGATGGTCTGGCAATTGGAGCTGCCTTTGGCAGCGATCCCGTTACGGGCTTTGCCACTGCCGTAGCCGTGTTGTGCCACGAGCTACCACACGAACTGGGTGACTTTGCGCTACTGCTACAATCCGGTATCTCCATACGTCGCGCCATTTATATGAATATTATCAGCTCGGTGCTGAGCTTTGTGGGAATGGCTATTGGTCTGCTACTTATTGGAATCGGTGATGGCATGACGAAATGGATCTATGCGGCTACTGCGGGCTCGTTTTTATACATTGCATTCGCTGATTTGGTACCAACGATGAGCGTGGCTCACAATCCAGACCTTGTTCGCGACCCAAAGGCCATAGTCATTCAAATACTGGGTATACTTGTGGGAGGTGCTATAATGTTAATCATTGCCGTACATGAGCACGATCTAGAAGGTTTATTCAAAAGCATAGACTTGCGTTGAGAATCTCATTGAAAAGTTAAGCACAAGTCACGTATACAGATTCAAAATTATTAATTATGGTGATGTTATCATTTTTGATGAGAGGTTGTAAATTGTTATTAGATTAAAAATCTTCTCTTGTACAGTCAAACATACCAAAAATTATATGAATTATGTATTGTTCGAAACAAAACTAGTTTATGTCTGTATATACTATGTGAGCTTGTTTCATTGTCTATGTTTTAATATACAATTGTAATCTAGAAGACCGCAGAATTAAGCAGAGCATAAGGCAATTATTGCGATAAATTTGTGCCAATGTGCCTATTAGAAGGCATTTTGTATATAGTAAAGAGAGATCTTTAACGAATTTGTAACTATACAAATAAACAAACATATATTTACGTTTAAGTGCGCGACTTGAAACTTTTTGTAACGATCTTTAATATAAATGGTAAAAATTACTAGAATAAAGCTTTAAATATTAAAGAACCTCATGATGATTCCCATTTATATTTACGATAATTGCATTTGTCGTTGCTCCTCAAACGGTTCATTAGGCATACGAGCAGAATTCTACAAAGTATTAATAAATTGAATCAATAAAAAACAAATGTTCCTTCGAAAAAGATAACGTAGTTTCGATTGATATAGATATATATATATATATATATAGACTCACCAATTTCTGGGCGCGTTGTTCCAGCAAACCGTAGGCTAAGTGATTCAGAGCAAAGCCGATGGGCAAGGCCACGCCTTGTATGCGATAAAATGCACTCGATGGACCTTCATTGGCCAACTTGTGTGCCGCTGAAACTGTGCACTTGCCCAGGAAACGGGTGGATGCCACCATGGGGCCGCGCGAAATGTCAATATGTTCGCCCAAACGATAAAGCGTCACGCGGCTCTGATTTTGTTGCGCAATACTAGGCAATTGCTCGCTCTTGTAGCGTGAATCCTTGAACATTTCCTTCGCCAATTCCTGATCCACTTCCAATCGCTCGATGCGTAAATCCTGTGCTGCTAACTTCACCATTTCTGCCGAAATGGCCCGCATCTCAGCTTTGGTCGGCACCCAGTTTTGGACACCAAGCACGATGTCATGCACAAAACTTCCCGATTTAACTAGAAATATCTGAGAGTGATTGATTGTCAAACCAGATCTAAGATTAAAACTCACTGTTTGGTCCCGGAAAACTGTGCAACTGTAGGTTTGCTTCCTGCCTAAAGGCCCGTTGCAATGCAGCACCTAGCATGAAGCTGCAGGTGCGCCAAAAAGCCCTTTAATGTTAAAAAGTAAACTATTAGTGCCGTACGCCATGGTGCTCGTCCATCCCACTTACTTGTTGACCACGTGAGGCTCGGAGACATTAAAGTTAAGCAGTTGCAATGTGCAGGATTCTTGCAGTGGTCTGTGCATATCCCACGGAACACTGCCATCTACTAAGGCCAGCGCAGACCGCTTGCAGTGTCCCTCGCTTAAATGCTGCGCGCAATTGAATGGCGTCGAGATGTTGCTGTTCATAACCAGCGTCACGTCCTCGGGTAGCCCCAAATAACGTACTTCGATCTTCTCAATACGGCCAACCGCATCCCTCTGACGTCGCTGCTCTTGGTTAAATAGTTCATTGCGTTGTCCGACTGAGGCGCTGGCGGAGAAGTTTGCTAAAATTGGAATTAAAAAACAGTAACTTAATAATTCAGTATAGTTCACAATTAATGCCCAATTATAATACTCTCTAGAAAAGTACATAAGCTGCCGGCATTACATAAAGGGTCTGAATGTGCCATTTAATAAGCTTATGTTAATGGTCACTTACCATTGCTTCGGCATTGCTGTATTTGTGTAAAGGCGCCCAAAGACTTTTTCAGCAGTTTCGTTGCCGCCGCCATTGCAGTTTATTCACAAATAATATGTTTCTTTTCCGCACAAATAATCAAGAAGTAAACAGCTGATTACGACGGGAAGGGAGCATGTGTAATACATGAATACTGTTACTTGGTATTATTAATGTTGCGAGTCACAGTCGTGACTTAAGGAACGGAAGCAGTTACAAAATCCGTTTTTATAATTAATAGGCAACATATTGGTCTGAAATATATACAATTAATAAACTAAAATAAAATACCATAAGTATAGCTTATTATAACATTAATTTACATTATATTTATGGAAAGCGGCCATCCAAGTCTCCTAATAATTGTCTCAGGGCTGCAACAAAACACAGCAACCCGATAAATCGCCGCGTCAAGTTCGATACCCGATAAATAAATAGCAACTTCTCGATAAATAATATCAACAATTCTTGCTTGTCATTTGCACTGTCATTCCGCTTGGAGATTTTAAAGAAATAAAATAATAATTCAATATGAATTTGGCTCAAGATATGCCCCGTGCTGGCTTTAATTTCGACAATTGCCGGCGGTAAGAATTAGTATTTGTGATATTGCCTTTAGCTTCACGACTTCACGTACATTTTTTATATTTTCAGTAATGCTGCCCTCTTGCAGGGAGGCTTCAAGCCGCCGACAACAACGAAAACGGGCACCACAATTGTTGGCATCATTTACAAGGATGGTGTTATTTTGGGTGCAGACACGCGTGCCACTGAGGGACCCATTGTGTCTGACAAAAACTGCGCTAAGATCCATTACCTGGCTAAAAACATTTAGTGAGTAGAGCGTATTTTTATGTACATACATGGTTACTTATCTGAACAATCGCTCGTCACAGTTGCTGTGGTGCCGGCACTGCCGCCGATACCGAAATGACCACGGATTTGATTTCGTCTCAGCTGGAACTCCACCGACTCAACACGGAACGCCAGGTGCCCGTGGTATGCGCCAACAATATACTGAAGCAAATGCTATTCCGTTACCAGGGCCACATTAGTGCTGCTCTGGTCCTGGGTGGTGTCGATAAATACGGCCCGCACATATATTCCATTCATCCCCACGGTAGCGCCGACAAATTGCCATACGCCACCATGGGCTCGGGCTCCTTAGCAGCTATGGCCGTCTTTGAGAGTCGTTGGAGACCCGATTTAACTGAGGAGGAGGGCAAGTTGCTGGTGCGTGATGCTATTGCTTCTGGTGTCTTCAACGATCTTGGATCAGGATCAAATATTGATTTATGCGTGATACGCAAGGATAGCACCGAGTATTTGCGCAATTATGAGCTGGCCAACAAGAAAGGCGTGCGCCAGCTGAACTATAAATTTAAGAAAGGCTCCACAGCGACACTGCACACAACAATCAAAGATTTGCAGATCACTGAGCGTGTCCAGGTCGTGCCAATGGAGGTATCTTAAGGCATGCGGCTTAGGTTTAAGTGATAACAAACAATGGAATAATGGTTTGATGCGGTTCAATGAACAATAAAGCACTTCATATAAACTTATCTCTGTGTGAGTTTTTTTTTTAAAGAAAACCCTGGTAAAAACTAATGTGTAAAATTTGTTAACATTTTAGTTATTACTCTAGACTAGCGGTAAACATAGGTAAATTAGCGCAAAAGGTCAACGCTGCTTTGGTTGGTACAATTGAAACTTAGGAGTATTTACTATCTAGCCATCATGTCATCCATGTCTTTAATATTGCCATAGATATAAATTTACAAGTACTTCAGCTAATATCACATCATACAGAGGGTCAATCCCTACCTACTAAAGGCACGCTGGGGTTGCTTACTAAACCACTAAATGTTTGGCACCAAGAATTCACTTGATTTGTTAAACCGTATTATTGCCTTATGCTACACTCTTAAATATCTATGTTGCGCCCGATCCGAAGATGCGCCAATGACAGCAGTCCGATGGCTAAAATAGCGAATCCGTGGGGTGAGACTAATGCGGCGCCATTCATCGTGGGTTCCAGCATATGAGACACTGACAGGCTGGAAAGCGCCAGATTAGTTGTAATTCTCGGTGACTGTGAGCTTATCAGGGATGAGATTTTCTCCGCTTCAGCCTCGCAAACCTTCAGCTGTAGTAAAGTGGGTCGACCACGGGGCACGAGTGCCACAAAGATGCCCACCTCCATGGTGAGAAAGCCCGTCAATTGGCAATCGCTCACCTGAACCAGGTGATCTAGCTCCTGCAATATGCCACGCAATGTCAGCAAAGAGCTTTGCTGACCACGAAGTGCATAGTAAGCTCTGTCGAGCTGCTTGCGTGAGTATATGATCCTGAAAGCAGCGCCTCCACACATGGGGCAGCAGGCACCCGGTGGCACAATGTGATGGCAATGCTTCGAGACAGGGCTCGGACATTGGACAGTTCGACAGCGACGCCCCATATCGCTGACCAACAGCCCAACTTCCCGACATCGGCCCACATAATCAACATGCACAAATTCGGATAATGCGGCGGATCTACTGCGATAGGTTACTCCGTTGATGCCACAGACTGGGCTCAACTCATTGCCGGTGTCGTGCTCCGGCCGACATGCTCCCCAATAGGCTAACTGAGAGTTGGTCTGCAACAGGGAGCAGGCATTCGGGTGAGTCTTGCCCTCAGTATCGCACAGCTCCTCTGTGTGCTGAGTGCCACAGCTGGAGGCGGATACATTCACTGCAAAGTCGTAAAGTCGTTTAACGCATTGCAATCGAATGGTCTGGTTGGCTTACTTACCGCAAATATACTGTGGACATGGTCTCTGCATGCTGGAAAGACAAATTTGTCGCCTCTCCAGGCACTGGGTGCCGGATGGGCAGCTAGGTGAACCACCACCTGTGGCCCCCTGACAGGCGTTACGGGCATTGCAGGCACCATATACGAAGCTGTTCTCCATCAAACCCAAGCACTTGGCGACACAAGCGGAGGGGTAGGTGTTGCCATTAAACCCACAGACAGGCACATAGTGCGCAGGGCAATTGCATGGTAGGCTCGTATAGCCTGCATCCACATAGCCTGCCAGACGACACTGCTGTTTGGTGCAGGTTATCTCCCCGGCAAAGCAACTGCACAGATTGCATTCCAGATGAAAGGATGAGCCGTGAGAAAAGCTGCGCCCACCCGGGAGCACACAGTTTGAGTGGATGTAGCTGGGAAGTGGCTGACACTGATCTACATTGCCACGCAGTCCACATCGACAGACCACGTGCTCGGCACTCAGCTGTGCGCTGGCGAGGCCACCATTTGGATTGCGAGTCTTTCCCACGCGAACATATGCCCCAAAAGGCACGATTAGCGCAGAGGCTTGTCCCAAGCTGCAACCAGGTATGCAAGAGTAGCCTTGGCGACCATTCCTTTGGAGCACGCATGCCTCACTGACATTGCACGGCTTAGAGGCGCAAGGTGAATTGACGGCCAATTCTGTGCCTGCTCCTTCAGCTGTATCAATGCCTTTTAAGTACGTACGTAGCGAGAGACAAGGCATCGGTTCTTCGTCCTCAGCTGTTGGCGGCTGCAGCCGATCACAGATCGCCTGTGGTCGCTGCGGCTGCCTGGTCCAGTCCAAGCACTCGTCCAGCAGTTCTGTGCAATCCTCTCTACAAATCCCATTATAAAGACCAACTCGGGTGCATGGCTGGAGCTGTAGGGCACAGACGAGTGCCTGCCATTTATCAGGGGCGCAGCGCGTGGTATTTTTGATGAAAAGCTCCTGGCCCAGCACGCGTATAAAGCCACGCTGCTGCAGCATCAACAGATCCTCGCGGGCCGCCGCATCATGTGCGGTCGAGCAGCTGCGAAAGAGCTGCGTCGGCCGATTATTAAAGTTTGTGCAGAAGCTTAGGCCATGACAACCAAGCTCACAGGGCGCATCTACGCTCTCAATGCAGCGCCTTAGGTCCAGCTCTGCGGGCTGCTCCAAGCACTCAGTATCAAAGCTGACGCGTGTCTCCCACCAACCGTTGGTGAAGATTTGGGTGCACAGACGGCGGCACTTGTGGCTGTTGGCCTGCTCACAGCACTGGCGCTTGGCGGAATCGATGCCCAACTTATTGGGCTCCTCGGCTCCGTTGGACGCCAGCTCGGGCCGCCGCTGTGAGTGTGCACCTGCCGGCACATACAGCTTCCGTGTGGCCGTCAGAAAGCACTGCCAAAAGGGCAGATGGGGCAACGGCATGCCACAGCCTGCCTCAAGACGCGCAAAGATAACATCACTGCGCTCCTTTTGTTGATGCAACTTTGAGGCTTGCAGCACCTTTGTGCACGTATGGTGACATTTCTCCTCTCGACTGTACTCGCAGCATGGCAAATCTGGTAAAGAAAATTCGAGCTGATCATATTTAATATATATCAATAGTGGTGCATCTTGGCATCTTACATTTCTCAACGTCCAACGGAGGTGTCATATCCGTGTGGTTGTGTATGCATTGCAGCACATCCGCATTCCGTTCCCCACATGTCTCATCTACCAGTTTTCCATCGCCGTTGCCCGTTCCAGTTTCATTTGGGGGCTCAAAGACTTCCCGGCAGGCCTATGAAAGAATATGAAAATTCCATTCATGCTTTCTTAAGCTTGGCCTTAATGAAACCTTAATTTCCTGGTCAACAAATATGTCAGGAATGCTATTCGTTCTTAAATATATTCAGATAAGTTCATGCTGATTCAAATGGAATCTAAATACAATATTTGCTTTGTATTGGATGTGGCTTACCTGGAGGCACTCGGAGGTGCGCGCCTGTCCGCAGCAACTGTCTGCCGCTTCCTGGTGCTCGAAGCAATCGTAGAGCACTTGCTCGTCGCTGCGCCGGCAGACTTCAGTCACCTCCTGGCTTGCAGCTGCAGTTGCGCAGGAGTTCTTGCACTTTGGCAGAACTGCCAGTTGACAGCATCGACGACCGGACCAGGATTTACCCCTGTCAACCGCTATAAATCAAAGTCAGAAATCTTCATATATACTCGGCCAATCACATTTACCTTCAAGGGTGCGATTTACACAGCTCCAAAACTCTAGTTGATGCAGCTGGCAATACTTTCTCAGTTCTGTGCGGGGCTCCTCGCGTCCACTCCCATAGTCCAACTGGACCAACGATAGCTGCAAGTGGAAGACAAGTAGAAGAAGTAGTCATTATTGGACATAAACCAACTACAATTAGATTATGGCTTCACTGTGCTACTGAAACACGAACATGGATCATATTGAACCAGTCCGCAATTAAGTTGTTGACAAAAATCCTTCCTTTCATCTATATTTTTAATTTGAAATACTATTTGACTATTTGTATTGTACATGTCTTCTCATTAATTAAGTTGCGATTGGGTTTCAATAAAATTTGGCAGTATTTAATTGCAGCAGCATATTCACCACCTCCGGGCTGTCTCACAAGTTGTAGTCTTGGGCTACCCTGCAGTCGGCTTGGAGGTTCCATTGTCTGTTCTTAGCACGTGTATTATGTTACACTCGAGATGTTGCTCGTTTCTGAGGGCAGCCTGCGGGACAACCCGCTGGATCATAAATAAGGCAAGCAACAAATTTTTCGGCTCGTTTATCTGCCTCAGTAATCTGAGTCCACCGATGTCTATTAAAGATCTTATACTCCTCTCTTTCTGGCTTGTCTTCGCACCAAACACAATCTACATGCATACACACATACACACGCACCCATTGGCCAACTTCCTTTACAACCTTGTTGCTCTTCGGAATGAATGTCATGGCCTGTTACACATAGACACGCTCCCACATACACATACACACACACTACCCACATGCCGAGAGACACGCTTGTAATACTACACATACAAAAATTGGTGGCTAAGTTTTAGGAAACTCTCATAAATTTCTTCTTTTTTTTAATGTTGCATCTTATTTAAAAATCTGTCCGTTTCTTGGGAAAATATTAAATCTGTAAACAATTCTCAAAGTTCGAATTTTTAAAAATTTAACAAAATAAAAAATGGAAAACCTTTTTATAAGTTATGAAATTTTCTTAGTTTCCGTTTTAAAACTGGACATTTAAAAAATGTTTTGCAAAATTTGGAAAATTTTCTAAAATTTGAGAAGTAGTACTTGGTTTTTTTTTTTGAGTGTACAGGTCCGGCATTTCGTGCTCACTTGTGCTACATCTTTTTAAGTTGTTTCAGCCATCAAGATAGGCACACTCTCGGAGCAATTATTGTTTGGCCACGCCTGCGACAGATGAGACAGATTTTGAGTGAATCGGGGAGAGGGAGTATTTTGTCAATAGTAAAATGTGCGGAAATCGCAATTATCAGCCAGCGGGGATCAGGCTCGACTTTTCACACGTTTTTGGGCTTGTGTGGGTACAGCAGGAGAAAGATTGGAGAGATGTTTTCAATTTCAATTTGGGTTCCGGTTTCCATTCGATCTGATGCTGTGCTGCGGCTGCTGCGGCTGCTGATGCTGCTGCTGCACCCAATACAATAAACCGGTCCGGGAACGGGTATTATCCTGTAGCTGTAGCTGTCATTTTGTCAGATTCAATTTGAGCA